AGGGGAAAAAGAAAAGTTCCATGAGTTCATCCCCATTGGAGGCTTCACCTAAAGAAGAAAAAGCATAGCATTTTCAATTGTTCAAATACATTATCTCAGGTATTCTTACAACAGTCCTATATTGTTTAGTATTATAATATCCAAATAGCAAGGATAGTGGTTTGCCAAAGCAAAGTACTGGAGGTATAGGCCAGCTGGTTTCATTCTTTCATGGCCATGTGTTTTTTAACAGGGTCCCCACCAATGTTTTCCTAATTTGCAGCACAAGGTTCAAATAAATTGTTAATGTTAAGTCATCCTGATTAGGTACTTTTTCTTGTGTTTGTAAGTGTCTTGCTAGATAACATTAAGATTGCCCAGTCCACAAGAAATCATCAACCGGCAAGCATTAAGCCACAGATGGACAACTTTGAGTGGTCTGAGGGCTGCATACAGCCAACCCAAGATTTTGGGAGGCCAATTCTTCCCCCATCTCACCCCACCAACCTCCCAAATGTCACTTCCAGGGTTTGGGGGGAGGGCTTCTGGACCTAAAATAGCTTGGGTGGGGTCTGGGGTTAGAGTGAAGAAATTGCTCCCCATGCTCTGTGGGGGAGCAAAGTTTCTTTCAATTTGGAAGTTGCTAGGGGTACGTGTGACACCAGGGATAGCATGTAGCCTAGGAAGCACACTTAGTTCACCTTTACATTAGGTGACCCACTGGAAATTAGCCTACACTCCAGTTTTGGAGCAGTCCCTACATTAGTTCAAGTCTGAAATGAGTTTGGAATCCAGGTTACACTCATAACAGTACATACATGATATGTAGCAAGTGTAGTTAATGTCACTGTTAGTATATCTTTCATCATTCAAAACCCCTCACATCGTCATAGGTGGCAACAGCAAGAGAAGGGCCAATATGGAGATTAGACTGGCTACTTGTTTTAAATCAACAATGGCATTTTTGTCTTTAGCAGGACATGGTTGAGTCCACACCCTCAAGCACAGTTCTATGAATGCTTGTTAGTAACTGACATGTTTCCAAGTAACAATTTGAAATCAATTATTGCCTAATAGCGATGAAACAAAAAGAGGGAAGGAGAAGGGGGGAAAACAGAGAGAAAAAGGACTTGAAATCTCTATACATTTTTGTTGCTCTCCTGAATACCTTGAGGAGTTTTTCCATGCCAATGGCATTTGGCAATTATAATCACACAGTAAAATACCTAAGGTTAATGAGTAACCTCGAAAGGAAGTTACTTCACATAATGACAGCAATTTCTCTGAACTAAATGTTAATAATAAGGCCTGTAATATGGTAAGAAGGAAATGGTGGCAATTGGCAAATGGAACCCTGTTGCCTAGTAACGAGTCCTTAAGGTATGAGTTCCCTCTTCTTCTTCTTCTTCTTCTAAACAGCAGCAAGGAAAACATTTCCAGCCTGACCTGATTGTGGAAGGTACACATTTTATAACTCCAGCTACTGCCCTAGGCAGGGAATCAGAAGGAACTGCATTCATTTTATGAACAATCAGTTCAGTGCTACAAAACCAGTTAATAGTGAGGTTTAAAAATCCACCTTAGACTGCCAATCCTATGCGTGTGTGTGCGCGCATACACACACAAGCCCATTGGAATCTATGGGGCCTATCTCTGAATACTCATACACTGGCATGTAACATTACTACTGTACTGACATTACAAGTTGTTCTAAATGCAGGAACAACAGTGCTAAACAACCAAGCATTCAGGCAAAGAGCTGGACTGCACTCTTTTTGACAGATTACAACAGAAGGCTTGTGCAACCACCTGCATTTCAGCAAAGTTTCAGGAGTCTGTCTCACTGACCCAGACAGACACAATGCCCTCCAGCCATAAGAAGTGTGTGCAAAAAAAGAAGCCACACCTTCTGAAGCACAGAGTGCTTTGTGTCTGCCAGCTACTTAACAGTGACAATGTCTTTGGAGTCCCAGATATACTATGAAACTACTGCATATCAAAAAAGGGTTTACAATATTGTCACCATGATCATCAATGCTTCTGCTACTAACTGAGTTAGATTCATCAGACTTGGAAAGGTGACCTAGTGGGTTGTCCATGTACGAGTCAAACTCACCAGAAATGGAGCACTATTCAGAAGTGTTGAAAACCTTTTTGAAAAAAATCTGAGTTTGCTTTTGATGACAGGGTTAAGATGCTAGGGCAAGAGAGGAGAATAATGAATAAAGTCATCTCATGCTGACACGATAAAGACAGAAACCAGCCCTGCAGAGTGCAGAGTGCTATAAGGGTGTTCTGCATTCTGTCACATCGCCGGTGCTGTCTATTCCTCCCTCTTTCTCCAAATGACATGGAAGCTTACTAGCAGGGCATAATGGGAGACAGCCACTCCTTGCTACTGAGATGTAAAGTGCCTAGAAATATTTCTCCCACTTGCTTCTTCAGGCTACAAGCAGGAAATTCATGAAGGCGGTAGTGCAGTGCAGTGCCTACATAGCACAGAAATGGAGAATGCTTCTCATAGATAACATGCAAGGATTAAGTGAACGGGGACATGTCCAGGTAGAAGGAAGGCTGCCCTGTAGGAAATGTACTGTTACATTGATATTTTGGAGTTACTAGTAGAAAAATGAACATAAATACCATATACATAACATTTTTTTAAAAAAGCAACAATGTACATTCTCAGCTACTTTTGCAGAGTCACATACAGTATAGTATTTCTCCAAACAGTTATTGTTAGGACTAAAGACAAACCAGCAAAAATAATAGTTCCATCAGTAGCTGTTTAACAGCACTTCAGCAGCACTCACTAATGTGCAAAGGTGTGGAGGATTAATACCACACAATTTTAAACAGCTATACCACACATTTATGTACTGGTTTGATTTAATGGTTGTTGTAGGTTTTTGGAGCTATTTGGCTGTGTTCTGGAGGTTTTTCTTCCTAACATTTCACCAGTTTCTGTGGCAGGCATCTTCAGAAGACAGGAGTTTGAATTCTGTCTGTGTTCTGGTGTAGTGTGTGGGATAGTTGAGTATTTGCAGCTGTGGGATCAGCTTTTTGTCCTTTTCAGGAGACTGGGTGATTATGGTGATCAGGATGTTTTTTGTTATTGGTCTATTGTTGTGATCAGGGGGGAGATGATCTGTCACTGTGACTGATAGGTGTTGTTAGCTAGTCTTTTATGTGCAGTGATCACCAGTCCTTGTGGCTGGGTAGAATTCGTTGACCTTTTTGCAGGCTGAATTTTTCAGTGCTGATTTTTCAGTTTGATTTAACTTCAGTCTCAACTGAAATTCAATTTCATGGTAGGGCTACATTAGCAACAGGGAATGATCTAATCTGTATTTGTTTGGATTTGGAATGATGGGGCTTGATTAGATCTCTCCTTCTATTCACATGGAAATGTTTCCTGCAGCCCGTGTAGTTGCCACCTAATCAACTACATGTTGCTTTTAGATTGCTTAGTTTATTTTAAAAAATTAGACAAATGCTAACAAGAAGATAACCCATAAAAATTGAAATCTCTGATAAAAAGCTAAAAGAAAATCTACATACACAGTGCACTCCCATCACTGGGAACAACAGGGAGTAGCCACTTACACCATTTACCCTTGTAGAGCCCCCTTCCCCTTGCAAGATTGTATAGATTCTTGAATTGGACTTTGTCTCTTCCCCTTTATTAATACAAAGCTGCAAAATTATCTCCATATGTCTACAAACACATCTCCGCCAGTTACTGCCTCTTAACTCTTATATGTAAATCTATCATTAATTGCTATATCCCAGACTCTTTAATATCATTCACATAGCAAATTATTACGAGCTGTTTCCCAGCTCCTAGCAATGATCAGTCTCACTGCTATTAATAGATTGCCATGTTTCAGACCCACATTTCTCCTTTTCTCCTTTTTTGTAAAATTAATTTTTGTTAAGTGGCATAGCACTGCATTGCTTCATCACTGCCAAACCCTAAGTGACCATTTGGCTTTCTTCATTTCCAAAATATAGATCTGTCTCAAAACAACAACAACAACAACAACAACAACAACAACAACAACAACAACAACAGTAATAGTAATAGTAATAGTAATAGTAATAGTTATTATTATTATTATTATTATTATTATTATTATTATTATTATTATTATTATTATTATTATTATTATTATTATTATTATTATTATTATTATTATTATTATTATTATTATTATTATTATTATTATTATTATTATTATTATTATTATTATTATTATTATTATTATTATTATTATTATTATTATTATTATTATTATTATTATTATTATTATTATTATTATTATTATTATTATTATTATTATTATTATTATTATTATTATTATTATTATTATTATTATTATTAGACAATTAAACTCACATGACAGCATTGATGTCACAGACTTCACTAGAAAGTTGTTCCATGTATCCTCTGATAATCCTTTTAGGCAGTGGCTTCTTGGTGTAAGACAGACAACAATCTCGGTTGCTTTGGGCTAGAAAAGGAAGAAGAGGAAAAGATGCACACAGTTAAGAACTAGTTAACACTTTGATTTGTATTAAATAATTTTGCCCTACTACCGAGTCCACTCTTTTCTTTTCCTAAGAAATGGCAGTGCTGCCAATAATGTTCTAGGGCAGAAATTTATTTTGAAGTCCCTTGAGGATCTATTTTGTCCCATCTCAACTTGCAGAAGACACACAATCATTTATGGGCACCAACATGGGCAACATCTGATCCCCTAGATGTTCTTGCCTTATTGTCCCTCATTGTAGCTTGGCACCTTAGAATTGGTGAGAATTTGCAGCAGGAAATGGATAGAAAAGCTTTAATGTGTATTCTTAACTGTTAGTAAAAGGTAAAGGTTCCCCTTGACAATTTTTCTCCACTCGTGTTCGACTCAAGGGGGCGGTGCTCATCCCCCTTTCCAAGCCATAGAGCCAGCATTTTGCCCAAAGACAATCTTCCGTGGTCACATGGCCAGTACGACTTAGACACGGAACACTGTTACCTTCCCACCGAGGTGGTCCCTATTAATCTACTCGCATTTGCATGCTTTCGAACCGCTAGGTTGGCAGGAGCTGGGACAAGTGACGGGCGCTCACTCCCTCACGTGGATTCGATCTTATGACTGCTTGGTCTTCTGACCCTGCAGGACACAAAGGCTTCTGCGGTTTAGCCCACAGCACCGCCACGTCCCACATTCTTAACTGTTACTTAGCTCCAAAAGCTAATTCATTCACACTAATATTTGATGGGGAAATATCTTAGCAGGTCAAGCTGCCATTTGTGTTCATCGCTAACATTAGTGTTAGAAATCACAGAACAGGCAAAGAAAGTGGTACATAATAATGTGGTTGGTACTGCTGTCCACAAGTAGAGAATGTTGATGGCTCATTCAAAAATGTTCTTTGGGGAGTTCACGTTCCTCCGCTCTCCACTTGACACTTTCCATATTCATAAAAATCCACAATATGTTTGCTGGTTAGGGAAAGTGACAAGCCAGCACATTTGAAATGTGCCAAGCTCAGAAAAACTGCACTTAAAGAATGGCATCTAACAGCTTATGCAATTAATTCTACCAGTGGTCTTTATTCCTTTCTCTTTTTCCCCCACCCACACTGACCCCTCACAACATACTGTATATGCTGTTCTTTGCTGTTCGAGCAGAGTGAATTGTTTCAGAAAGAGTAGTATAGACACTGAAAAATTCCTGTTGAAATGCTTCTTTAAAATATCTAAAATGCCATTTAAATAACTGTTTAAAATAACTAGAATACTTCACCTGTTATATCAGAAAAGCTGTAGCCATTCTAATTGTGTGATTTGTGAATATAATTCCCTAATGTCTCAATTACAAAAAGAAATAATTCACCACCAATAACTGTATTACATTAATGCACTGCTTTCCATCTCTGGCTTGCAGTCCAACAATATCAAGATAAGAAGTTGTCCATCCCTACACTTTGGCATCATCACAAGGTGTCCCTTGAACAGGTGGATTCATAAACATAATGCTTACCTTCACCAGTGCTCAAGAGTAGAAGTAGCCCCATCAAAATAACAAGACCTGTGGTCTTCTGGTATAAGCCAGTCATGATCATATTGCTCCTTATGTTGTGCGTGTTTGAAGAATTTGGCTCTTCTGATCATGGTGAGGTACATTTCATTGGGCTATTTATAACACCTGTTTGGGATTTGAGGGAAAGCACCAAAGGGTATACTTTAACTCTCCAATGTGGGGGTTTCCCCAGGATTACATACTATAGAACTATAGTTTTTTGTGGCTACTCTATTTACAGTGATATCTAGGCTCTAGTTAGTTAATCAGTAATTAGGTGACAGGTAAAAAATGAAGCTAGCAGAAGAGGAAATAGAGACCAGTGTTTGTTGATGGAACACCTGAGCTTGTGAGAGGCAGAATTGTTGGGAGAGCAGGAAAATCCAGAAGATTACTTCCGACTACTGAAGAGGAAGCACACACCCTGTAGTAAATTACCAGGAACCGTAAGCAGGTGCTGACTTACATTTCTTTCCCTTCTCACCTGTCTTTCCTATGTGATTAAATCATTTGCATTTAAAATTTTGTCTTAATGTTTTGACATAAATCAATATCAGAGATGGCTTGGGTTCTTTCATGGCTTGAGGTGATGGATTTTCTCCACATTATACCAACCAGCAGCTGTGGCAACACGGCATTATAAAAGAGAGGTGTTGATGGTGCCCCCTGCCTGGAAAGGAGGTGATGATGGAGACAAGGGCAGTGCTGGTATACCTCCCCTCCTTCACTACTTTAAAAGGCTGCCATTGCAGTAGTTCCTGCACTGGCTGGCCTGGGCCTGACATGTTCATGGTAAAAGTGCCTTCTCCTGTCCAGAGGAGGACATGTGGAGAGCTGTGTGGGCTGAGTGCTCAGAGTCCTATCTCTGCACATGGAGGGTACTCTAGGCCAGAAGGAGAGACCAGAGAGGGTTAGGAAGCAGGATAGTGGTAGAGTTAAAAACGCCAAAGAAGAAAGTAATAAAAGGAGAAAGTGAAGGAGGAGGGCAAGTTAGAAGACAGTTAGGAGAGACTAGAGAAAGTAAGACTCTTCAGTGTACAGTGAGGAAGATGGGGTAGGAGAGAAATAGTAATGGAAAAAGAAGCAGATTAAATATATTCTACCCACAGAGAGAAGAATGTCCCACTTGCCTACCCAAAGGATTTGGCACTGCTGGGGATGATTACCTTTAGAGACATTGCCCAGGCACCCAAACGGGAGAAGGAGCACTGGTGTAGACAAAACCATCTATGTGTAGACAAAAAAAGCAGAGGTGCCCCATGAGGGAGGATGAAGGCAGGAGCTACTTTTCAGCAGCAGCTGCAGGAGTGGCCCTCACAAAAGGAGGAGGTGGAGACAGAGTTAGCAGAGGCAGCTGTAGTTCTCACTGATGCTAGAGGCACAGTACAGGGAGACATCACAGCAGCTGTCCAGAATAGCAATGACTCTGCCAAGGCAGAAGAACCGTGAATTTGTCCCTTCTGGTGGTTCAGAGAGGGATCAGCCTTCCAACCAACTTTGAAGAGTAGTGCCACCATTCACCTCAGCCATGCTAAGTGAAGTATGACCTTTAATTCATCTGACCTCTGGAAAAAACCAATGGCTTTAAATCAAGGAGCTTGACCAGGCAGTCTGTGGAGCCTTGAAGAATTAAACAGCCTCTAAACCCTACCTGGACTTTGGTGGCAGCAGCATCAGGACCAGCTGGAGACAAAGGGCAATTGAATGGTTCTTGAGCTCCAATATGGAAAATTGTGACTATACTAACTGGATATAACATTGAGATGTGAAGTATACTTGTCATGGCTAGACAGAAATGTTAAAAGCCCCCCAGTCCTTAGCAGGTTTCAGGTGGCTAGATGGTACTAAGAATCTCTGAGCTGAAAGTTAGATTAGAAACATTGGAATCTATACAGCACACATGTTGTCTGACATGAGTAGAAATCATGTAACGTCCCCACTACAACAGCAGGCTCCCTGTCATGTGCCCATCCTTGTACTGCGTGTGAGATCAATCACATAGCTGGTCAGGTAATGGGTTGAAACTGACAAATGTGAAATTTAACTCATCCTTCATCCATATACCACTAGTGAAAATCACAGCATCTCAAGACTGCTTAGGGAGCTGCATTGCATGTGTTTTATATGCAGTATTATGACATTCATCCTCAGGTCTGTAAGAAATTTCCTATTTCAAATGCAGTAGTGCTACATATTTTCTCAGCTTTTATCCGTTCAAATACAATGCAGTACAATCCTGTTAAGCACGTTTATATAGAAACAAATTTCACTCTGTGGGGTTTTAGGACACAGAATTAGCCTGGTTAGTGTTAGTACCTAAGGAAAGCTGCAGTCCTAAACATACTTAGTAGGAACTGGATCCCATTAGGTACATAGGGATGTACTTCCAAGCAAAGATGCAGAACTTGGTATTGCTAGCTTGCAGAACCACTATGCTATATGTAGAAAAGAGAGCATATTCTGTTGTCATTTCAGATGGTTGCCTCCAGGTGCAGTGGCTAAACTCCAGTCCTGCAGCCGAAACTCTGCTTACTACTCCAGTTCAATCCTAGGTAGCTGGCTTGAGGTTCACTCAGCCTTCCAGCCTTCCAAGGTTGGTAAATTAAGCACCCAGCTTGCTGGTGGGGGGGCAATGTATGGCATGCATAATTAAATTGCTTTGCTTTTTGCTTTTTCTGCCACAGCACTTTGACTCCAGAACATTCTCTTTTGTTGCCCTAAAAGATGAGGAAAGAAGAGCCAGCAATATCTGGCAGAGCAGACGGTGAGCAGACAGAAGCTCTCTTCTATTAGTGCAGGTTTCATGAGTGGTTCCCGCCCTCAATTCTGCCCATGTAGGTTGGCCATATAGTCTACATCTGCCTTGGGTTCCAGTCTGATCAAGGCACACTGTGTAGTTACTATCTGGTTCTGCAAAATTCCTAAAGAAGTAAAGGACTATCTACAGAAACCACTGGGGAAACATTTTAACAAAAATATAATGAATTTTTCGCCACTTATTAAAGTTGGATTCTGTTCCCACCCTTTGGAAATATCAGTGGTAAAGCTAACGAGATAGCAGTGGCAATTTAAAAATTAAGTTGTTTATGTTTATTCTTTTAGTTGATATTCTAAATTGATACTCTAACACTGAAGTTTTTTTTTAAAAAAATCTTGAGTTATATGTTGCTGGTGTTCGGTTTAAATTTAAAAAGTAAAAAAAAACCCACCAAACTCCCCCCACAGAAGTATCAAATTAAAGTATCATGAAAAGCTAATTCTTATTCAAGCCATAAAAACCGTTGACATTGAATCAATTAAATTATTCTTTAAATTGTTGATTAAAATAATATATTGTGGGTGATGTAGAGAATTATTTGTAGAGAATTTGTAGAGAGTTATTTCTAAGCTCTGGATCCGCTCTGATGTTGTGTTTTCTTTCATTTGCCCCAATAAAAATCTTCATCTTGATTAAGAAGGGCTGAATGAAGCTTTCCTCACATGATCAGGTCAAACATCTCGTGGAAAGGAAGAGGGAGAGACAGAAAAAGAAGAGGACAGCAAAGGGAGAGGTCTTGCCCAGTACTGGTTTTGTTTTGCCCTGATGTCAGGTCGCTCCAATAGATTATCCCACAAGGAAATATGGCAGCAAAATCTTCACTCTAGTTCCGGAATATTTAGGATGCCTTGCACAATTGGGAAATTCCACCACATGTACAAAAGAAACTACTGTGCTAATTGTATATTTGGAAAAACCCAACTTAAATAAACCAAGTGAGAACAGACTCTGTGCCAGGCTGAGATACCTCACTGCATTGGCCACCAGTGTTTACCTTCCAGGTTATAAAAGCCAGAACAAAAGAGGAATATACACATTGATTGCATTCACACAATAGATATCATATCCAGTTTGGTTGAAAGAAACAGTCATGACATTATTCTTACTTCCATTCATTTGTCCAGGTATTCTCTGTTTCCAAAATGTATTACCTTTACATTTAAATCTCAATTTTTTTGGTTCTTCTGTAGCAAATCAGTTTTGAAGGTAGCGAAAGAAGCATGAAACCAACCCAACTATTTTAAGATTTTTTTTTCTGACAATGGGCTGATATTTTTGTATTATTCCTATCCCCAGATGAAATAGTCTAGTATTTATCGGTTTAGAGTAACTCACACAATTAGGGCTGGGAATAGATGGCATATGGTCATTACCAGTGTAGAATACCTACATTTGCTAGTGTTTGACTGCCTTGGGCAGCTTGTGAAATTCATTTGGCAGCACCACAAAGGATCTGAAGCTGCAGGCTAAAGTCAACAAATCACTGGGATTCTGGAACAGATCAAACACTCAGCTGTTACATATTTGGCCAAACTCCATTTCTCTCCACTCACACAAAAGGTGGGGGCACACTCCTTTCCCTCCCCCTCTCCCCCCAATTGAAGGCCAGGGTGAGAGTATTCAATAGATCTTTATGCTTTTTTTAATTGTTTGCTCATGTTGGCATTGCATTTTAACATTATGTCCTATTTCTCTTGCCACACCCAAGGCTATTATAAAAAAGGAAGCGAAAAAGCTCTTCAGCCAGGCAGAAAAAAGGAAGAAAAAATAAATAAAAACAAGAAAGGAAAAAGTCCCTGGTGTAACTTCCGATTGCAAGAGTGGCACTGCACAAAGGAAAGGGGAAAGCTACTCGTAGAATAAAGCCAAGCTGAAGGGAAAAAAACCACTGTGAACACACAGCTCTGTAGCTCGCTTGTTGACGTAATCTGGAGCAGGGCCAGCTTCCTCAAATCCTCCTGTGTGTCTTCTCAAAGAGCTCTGTCATAGTGTGCAGGAAGCTTAATCTTTCTGCTGTAATGTGTTGGCATATTCAACGAATCTTCTCTCCAAGTTTCCTCATACCATTAGCCCTTTGGACTCCGGCAACACCACCAGCTGAACTGCTCTCACTCCTTAGAAATCCCCTAAACCGTTGCTGACACCAGCTTCCTATATTAAAAGAAGTACAGTAGTCATGTCGACCCGTTTTTCCCTGAGCCCTACTCCCATTCAAAGGAATTCATCCTAAAATTGGAGTTGCCACCTCTGTTTTTCTGAGGTGTTTCTCATTTTTAATACAGTACCTAATGCACAGGCATCT